GGCCCCGAGGGCACCCGGCAGCCCCAGGGCTCTGCCCTCACCCGCTGCTTGAACTCAGCACGTTCCTCCAGGGTGAGCGTGTCAGCCTTGGCGATCACGGGCACCACGTTGACGATCTTACTGAGCCGCCGCATGAACTCCAGGTCGAGGGGCCGCAGCCTGCAAGGGCAGCCGGTTGGTGCTGGCATGGGCTGCTGCTACAGCCCCCACCATGACGGAGCCCCCACAGAGCACCAAAACCTCAGCCCCCCGCAGCGAGGGTACACCAGTATCACTCCAAACCACTGGAGCTGCCCAGGACAAGGGTGAGGGGCTGCAGCGGGGCTGGGGGCCTGCAGCCAACACTCACCAATGGCCTGTGGGGGGCACAAAGTAGACGCAGCCATGCACCCTGGTGTCCGGGATCTTCCTCTTGCGGGTGATGAGGATCTCCTCGCGCAGGTACCTCTCGTACTGCTCATTGATGTACTTGATGATGGGGTCCCAGCTGGCAGAGGGGCAGCAGGGAAGGTGGTGAGGAGCCCGGGGACGGTGCTCAAGAAGCATCCCGGGAGCCAGCACCATCCCCAAAATGAAGCTGCACATTCGCAAATGAAAAAACAGGCCAAGTGCCTGACCCTGCTGGGGACCAGCAGGACAGGGATGATCCCTGGCATGGACACCCTTAGTTGTGGACTACATAGCCTGTGCTTTCCGAGTGGGATGGCCAGCAACTGTCTTAGGGCCGATGCCAGCCCTGGTGCCTGGTCCCAGCTGCATCCCAAGAACCAACCTACCAGTTCTCATTGTTGATCTGATCGCCAAATCCCGGTGTGTCCGTCACTGTCAGCTTCATCTTCACACCCTTCTCCTCGATGACTGGCAGGGCACAGGGGCACAGGGTCAGTGGCCACCAGGCCACTTGTCCCCAGGACAGCGCTGGGGGGGACAGCAGGACCCCCATGCTGGTGGTGGTGGCAGCAGCCTTACCGTGGGTGACGGACTGCAATTGCACCGTCTTGGGGATGCGTTCCTCTCGGCCGGGCTGCGTGGCTTTGCGGCTCACCTTGGACTTGAAGAGGGTGTTCACCATGGTGGACTTGCCCAGACCGCTCTGCCCTGCAGGGAGGCCGCAGGGACGGTGAGGGGCGGCCGCTGCGCTCTCCCCGCCGGCGCGTCTGCACCTCCCCAGCACGGGCAGCTCTGCTCCCCCTCACTAAGCCAGAACGTCCAAATTCTCCCCAGCAGCCACGTGGGAGAAGCTGGCAGGATGTGCTGGGGAAGCCTCTGTGCTGCGGCC